CGCTTTCTGTCTTCAACATGACTGATGGTTGATTTGCATGTCAATGCAGTGCCTCTTTATGAAAGTGTGTGTGTGTGTGTGTGTGTGTGTGTGTGTGTTTCAAGGTCTTGCTTTTTGGCAGTTTTGGTTGCAAATACTATGAGTGATTTGTTGAAGGCCACCAAGAGAACTTGTGGCAGAGGGCCAACTGCATGCCATTTGCAAATGCCAGTGACATAAACCCGGTGGTCCTTTTGAGAAAGGCAAAAGGTGCCTCTGAGTTAGAGGATGTAATGGGCAGTGAGAACAACCTTGGGAGACAGAAGGAAGAGACGCAGCCTAGACAATGGTCCGATGAGAGAAATCTGAGTTCTGAGGAAAGATGGGGGTGGAGAAAGCGTGTCAGAAAGGACCGTCCCTCGTTCTCTGGAAAGTAGAGGCAGAGGAGGGGGGAATTTCTTTCAGACTTGTAAGATTCTCTTACTGTAAGCTTACAGTAAAAATAGCATTGGTATTCATGGTTTGGTTTCCTGTTTGGACTACCTCGAAAGGCAGACAAGTAGGCATCCAGTTCTTCAGTTCAGTTCAGTTCACCCTCAGACTGCCTCCTACCCTCACCACAAGATCCGGGGGTGATACTTCAGAGAGCATCCAGCTTTAGAGGAGCAGGTCAGGGCCTACACTCCCAAGAGTAGGTGGGCTCTGGCCAAAAACCAGGCAACTAAGCATCATTGCTTTGCATTTAAATATAAACGTAATTAAAACTGAGCTAATTTAAAGCAATTATTATGATTATCCTCATATTTTTAATCATCTAGTGCTTAAAAATCCAATTCAGTAGCAACTTTTTGAAGAGCACTGAGGGCCACACCAAAAGTCTTGGGGACCACAATCCCATCCTGCCTTTTTTTATTACTGAAATTTAATTAAATCTAAGGCACTCCTGAAACATTAACCCACACTTTGCTATATTGCTCTTATTACAAAGTTGCAGCTAATACCTCTCCATCTAGTCAGATTTCCAGGCCACCCAGATCCATTTTATTTACTGTCTGATCAATGTGGTTTGATTTCTCTGAACGTGGCTAAGTTTTGTTTCGCTATTTGTGAAATATGTCATAATTTGACCACTTCAGTGTTAGAATTATTAAGTTTTATTATAGTCTTTACTTGCTGCCTCAGAATTTGTGGGGGGGGGGCTGTTTGTTTTTGAATCGGTCAACGACCACCATAAAGTTTACAAATAAGGCAAGTTTTCATGCTGCGGACCTGGAAGCTTGAAGCTGCTGGATTTAACATTAAGCCTTAGGGGAAAAAAGTCCTGATTTTCTTGGCTTGGGTTTTTAAGTGTTTTGTTCTTAAAAGTTATATTTGGAAGCTGCTTGGCCTGGCCAGTGTTGAATGCAAATTCTGAAAATATACGCAATTTTCCTCTTAATTCTCCGTCATTACATTTCTGCTGGAGGGCAATTGCACAGTCAGAAGGAATCCTGCTCAGAACTGAGTAGAAACATAATATTACTGGATGTATACTGAAAAAGTTTGTCATAATAGCAAATGGTGTGGGTCTTGACCGCAGATGTAGTGCAGGTGCGCTGAAGGTGAACTGAGCATATGAAAATGTCAAGTTCTTAAAACAGAAAAGAACGCATAGCCAAAATAAGCTGTAGTGATTCCTCTGCTATTACTGCGCAGTCTAATTTTTTAAAAGGAAGCCTTGCACTTTTTTTCTTGGTTCTATTGAAATGGCAAACGGATAAATTACATGCTGACGGTTGAAAATTTTAAAAAGCGTGTAGCCTGCTCTACGCACGGGTGAAGAGCTAAGACTGGTGGCTGTTCAGTACTTGATTGCCCTGATACAGAATATATATTTCAAAGCTGGAAGGAGTCAGTTTCTCAGCCCAGCCAGAGGACTTGCAAATGCCTTTGTTACTGCCTCTTTCAGAAGCAAAGTGAGGGTTGAGTCCAAGGCTCCTTCTAGTGGCCACACATAAAAATACCTGTCGCTCTTTGCCTGAGATGGGCGGTGACTAAATTTGAAATCTAAATAAATAAATAAATAAAATGGCAAGAAATGGACTTTGTCTGCTTCCTGCTCTAATGGTCTCCCTTGAGACTTTTCTCATGGTCGAGAATATCTGGAAAAGTTTGCGGCGCAGGAAAGGTAATTGAGACTCCTATGTGGTGGGATCGCCTCTGCCTTTCTTTTTTCTTGAGGGCTGGATGGCAAGTAGCTGTTCAAGAAGAACCAGCAATGCTGAATGACTGAGTAGACCCTGAAATAAGCAGAAGAACCAGATCCATTAGCAACCTTTGCACAGCCTCATCCATTGCAATTTTACAAAGAAGCGGGCACCTCATCCCTCGTTTTGCTTCCTTGCTTGTTCTGTTCTTCTGGCCTAAAAAGGGAAAACAAGGCTGATATGCACTCCTCCTTGTAAAACTGTCCAGACACACCTGCACCTAAGCAATGATTTTATGCTGCTCGCTTTTCAGTCACTGTTGCTAATCATGTGTGCTTCAGACCATTTATCATAAAGACAGATTTACTGGCCAGCTTTCATTGTTGTGGGAAACCATGGTTTTATGACCATGGGTTATAATGAACCTCAACAAATTTTGCAAGTCTCTGGGCTTCTGTGCATAATCCTTCCCTTTCCTGTTCTTTTATACTGCATTACAGGGATTCAGAAGTTTCTGCTTTTTAACGTAAAGCAACCTGGTTCTATCCAGTCTTAAAGAGCAAAGGAGAAAGACTAAGCTATGGTGTGAAAACAAGCCAAAATTGAACCCTGATTGAGAAGGAGAGCGATCCTTTGTGACAGAGGCTGTCAAATGTTAAAAGTACAGTCTAGATAATACGGCAGGTTAACTGGAATTTGTTTCTGAGTAAAATTTGGTTCCTTAACCCTCTGAGGAAAGTAGTAATTTATGGATATCTTTCTCTTTTAGGTACCCGCATTATTTATGACCGCAAATTTTTAATGGCGTGCCGAAATTCTCCAGTTGCCAAAACACCACCTTGCAATCTTCCAGACATTCCAGGTGTTACAAGTCCAAGTATGGATGAGCTCCAGACCGAGACCAACCTCATCCCTGCTGATGACGAGAAACCAGGCTTAGGTGTGTAGTCACCTGTACAAATTCCAGTGCGTGGTTGGTGGGTTGGGTTACAGACAATGACTTTCCCTGTGCCAAACAAACACAGTCTGCTCAGTTTTTATCCATCAGTCTCCATAAGCACCATAGATGGTCCACTGTGAGTCTTGGGTCTGCTGATCATGTGAGATTTCATGGGTACCGTGTAGCCCCATGTAGCCACAGGCCTAGGACTCCATGTCTCCGATGTCCTAAGATTACTGCTGCCAGGGGCACTGAGCCTATGAAGTTCCATTTAAATTTCCTGCACAATTCTTCATCAGTAACTGTATCAGTTACTTCAAAGAAAAAGGGCTGTTCTTTTAGTGCAGAATTAGCATCTGGGCCCACTGAAGCCTAAAGCCAGCCCTGTAGAGGTCACAGGGCATGGATGGTGGGTTGGGTTACCGGTGATGTAAGTCTAGGTCCAAACCATTATCTTGTGTTCAGAATAAGTTGGCCTGTGGATTCAGAATAATGCTGTACCTCAGATTGCACATCTAAACAAATCACTGGCTCATGCTTTTCTCTATTTACCAGAGTCAGAATAGTATTTTGTCAGAGTAGAGTTTTGGGCCCTAAAAAGAGGATTGCCATAGCTTTAGCAAAAGAGAAGAGAGAACACTGAGTAATAAAGAAATGTAGGAAATGCGATTCAGTCAATGTGAGGTATAATTAATGAATATGTAGAGTTTCCTACGAAATGTGGTGATAGGTGGTTTAGATGCTAGGAAAGGAGATTAGATCATTATAGAGGAAGCGCAGCCCATCAGCAGCTTTTGATCGTGTTTCTTCCTTGTTCGGAAGCTGTGTATCTGAATACCAGAGATGGAATTTGCTTTGCTTTCCTGCTTATGGACATTCCATAGGCATCTTTCTGGAGGCTGTGAGGAAGGGCATGTTTGACAAGATGGGTCTTAATTTATATTTTTTCTTTATTTTAAACTTTTATATGCCCACTTTACAGCTTCCATCAAAAACCTTTATGTAACAGTACATTTCAGCGCAATAAATCTTATAGAGAGAGAGCCTATAGTGAATGAGATTTTTAACTGCTTAACGCTCTCAGGGAGTTTTCATTTTTTAAAATATTTTTTTATTAAAAGCTTTAAGGGGAACATAAAAACTAATACAAACTAATATAGAAGAAGAGGAAGAGGAGGAAAGAGAGAAAAAGAGAGAGAAAGCAAGGAGTTTTCAGAATATATTAGGATAGCTTTCATGTCAGAACTGTGGTTTGGTCCCAAGAGTGCTGGGTGTACATATGTTTTTTTGTTTTGCCTAAACAAAATAGGTCCTACAATTATAGATTGTGGTTGCAAATGAACCAAGATGAGACTGGTAAAGTTTCCTGGAATTGCTCAGCTCTGAGCGTCTTGCTAGACTGCTTTACCGCAGCAAAACAACTATTGAAACTAGTAACCAAAGATATTTTATTAAAGGGGACATTTTGTTCTCTGCTGGGAAGATTGAAACAAACTTTGCAAAGATTACAGGCTTATTCTGTCTCTGGACCGCCAGCTTTCAAAGCAATAATGCTATTGTGTGGTCCCTTGCCAGACTGGACTGTTGAATGATTATAAGTTGCCGACTACTATGTGTATGTTCCTTTTCCTAAAGTTGCACTCACTTTATTTTTTTTTTATATCTCATCACTACTTCTTGAAAAACATGTTATGCAAGTTTTTTTGAAATGACTGACCAGAGTTAAAACTGGAACGAGTAGAGCGTGATCCTTCTCTATGTTAAGGAAAACTTGGAGGAGCGATACTTTCAGTATACGTGGCATCCAGTGAATGCACATGAAACTGAGATTTCCTCAGTCGTTTCTGTCTTTCACAGGTGAAGAAGCCCAGTTCGACATAGATATCTGAAATCTCTCCTCTGAGAATAGTGGTGTTGTTTTATTCCTGATGAAGATGAGATACCAGTAACGCTTCCAGAAATGAGAGAGGCTTATAGAATAGCCCACGCTATGCAAAGCTTTTCAGGAGAAAAGGTTCATCGTATTTAAAAAAAAAAAATGCTGGGAAGAAGAGGACATTTCTTTCTGCCTAAAGACTGAAAACACTGGTGGATTTCTCTCGTGTTTGGCTTCCGGGGAGGAAGGTTGCTGAAGAGAGGAGTGCGGTTTTCTGTTCCTGTGCCTCAAGTCCTAGTGCCTTTGTTCCATAAATGTCAGTTCTCAAGCCAGAGACTGATGCAGGGAGACACACGTAATCATGTTGGATGTAGGCTATTAATGCAGTAGCAGGTTATCTTTTATTCACTTAATAGAGAAGTGGGTGTCCTCTTATCCCCGTCAATTATATGTCCTCTAATC